AGTCACGCTTTACGTAGTTATCAGACGTTACTACTTTAACTTCAAAACCTGAAAAAGGATTCAAAGAATCACATTCACATTATAATGTACCATGGTATCAAAATAAGGAAATGGTAAGTCAAACTATTGATGTCTTAAAAACTAGGGTAATGAACAACATGGTCATTTCCACTCACACGGTGTCTCATGGGTGGACAAACAAACCTTCTCTGATGAAACTGGGGAACTCTTCAGGGGCATTATTTTCTCTTTGGATGCGTTTGTTTTGCTCTAGTAAGCGTCTTTCATCATACGGGTTTTTGCTCTTTGTTTTCCCAGAAGCTGGGAAAGCGGGAGATATGCCGGATGTAATCAGAAAAAACAAGAGAGATCTGCGCTTCATATTGTCCTCATAGTGCAATATATTTACTTTCTGTTCCCTAACCCTGAAAATATTTTCTATTTCAGCTACAAAAGATTGACATTTTGGTTAAAAGTTAAGTTACCTTTTATCTTGTAATGTGACAGCTGAGCAGCATTGGAACGTGGATTTCTGTCTGTGAAAAGCTTGAGTTGTGTGACAAGCTGAAAGAGTATCTGAATTGAGAATAAACCAAGTTGTTTAATAAAGGGATTTATGTATGACAAACCATAACGCAAAGGCTGTCAAATGTTGCTTAAAGGATCTACAACCTACATTGTATCTAATGGCAAACTACACAGGAAAATCAATAATTTCGGTAATCCTGTTATTTCCCTATTCTTTTCTCATTTCTCCATAGCACTATCAATAATTAAGGATGGAAGTTTTTCACAGCAACATGACGATAAATTTTTCTAATGCCTCGAACAAATTGTTCCCTTTGTGAGTTTAGAATCCTACATGAGCTCACATTGCCAGTCCAAAACCCGGATAAGGAGGATTATACGTTAAACCGGTACCACAAAACTAGTTAGTTTATGATGAATCCTCCCAAAATTGGAACACATAACATTGGAATGAAATGGATCAAACTGGATTTAATTCATGTAGCCGACCCCAGGTAGCTTGGCAGTGAGACGTAGTAGTTCTTGCAAGCCAATTAAGAAGTCATAAATGTACTAGCACTGCATCAAAAGATGCAGTCATTGAGTCTCTTGCGATGTATAATTGGCGCGAGCAAAGATATTATTGACATGGAAGGCTTTTCCGTTATGCTCTACTAGAACACATGTAATTAAGTTCAACAAATTACTGGGGCTAATATTGCATTTAAGAAGAAAAAGGCATTCATTCACATTATTCTTCACAGCAGAGCTATCAAAGTGACCATGCCATGTATATCACCTCTAAATTTCTCTTTAGAATGGGGAAAAAAAGTAAGAGAAAACAGAACACAACTCAATAAACCCGCAAGTTCAAGCAAAGATTTTCCAAATTGGAAAAGAACAAAGAAAGAGATTGTTAGAGGACAAATTGAACCAATTTTTTTCTCATACCATAGACAAGAAAGTTATTAAAAAATAAATAGCCAAAGCATTCAGAACCAAGAAACTGAAAAAACATTTAAAAAAAATCATAGTTTCTAATTTCTTGTTTATATGCTAAGAAGCAGTAGCCAGAAGCAGGATAAAGCATTGTCAGATGATTTTGTGTAGCATATTTTCCTTTTTAATCTGTCCAAAAAGATTATCATATTTCCTAAACAATTAATTTTAAAATTCTCATTTTACCCTTTCTTTCTTAAACTCCATGTCTAGTCAAATAACATACACAGATTGGGATGGAGGGAGTATTATGGTAAATATTAACCCAAACCAATTAAACTTAGCATGGTCAAAAGTAATTTGATGAAGTAAAAACATGCGTTAAAACCATGATTAAGTAGCAGAACTCTATATGCAAATACTATGTCATGTTTCTATTGGTTTGGTGTAAATACCCAGTGAGGTTAAGAAGCCAAATTGAACATTTCCCTCAACCACAGCCAAGAAAATCCATAATTTCTAATTTCTCGTTTCTATACTAAGAAGCAGTATTCATAACAGAAATAGTGTGGAAGTGTTACTCTGAGGAAGAGAGGAATTACATGGAAAAGAAATCTTGGAGAGGAGAAACGAAGAATTCAGCACCATGGCCTTTGTCACTTCAACTGCTTCTTTGGCAAAAATGGCTGTTTTTGCAGTTTATTTGGGAAACAAAAACAAATGCTTACGCTGCCACTTTATCTTCACTTTGGATGTGCTGGATATTAACAATAAGACCCTTATGATATCTTTGATGTTATCATTGTGCTACTATTTTTTATTTTTCTGTCGTTTTGCCTCCCCCTTGGCCTTTCTCATTCGACAACACTTGCTAGAACATAGTTTTAACTTTTAAATGTAGGGAAAATGGTCAAATTTGTCATATATACTCTATATGAAAATTGAGCATAAATTTTTGAGTTAATATTATCTCCATGGTTGTGAAAAGGTATCATTTTTTGGGAAACTTACATAAATATCCCAAATAAATCTCAACTTACCAACCTCTAGCCATTAGTCATAGACTTACCAAAACTAGCCAACAAAAATTGAAAAACCAAATAATAGGGTTCTTTCTCTCAAAGAATCACATGCAAAAATCACCTTCCATATTTTTAAGCGTGATTAGCAACATTAGATATAAGACGGAAAGGAAATTTCATGGACGGGGCACAAATAATATGATGAAATACAAAAATCTATACAATATTCCAAAAATCTAAACAAAAAAAGAACTTTTTCAATGGGTATAGTTGAAATTCATTGAAAATATATAGATAAGTCAATATACAAAATTTGAGGAAGATTGGAGGTGATTTGGAATGGTTTTGCATCAAAATTCGTGATTAAATCGAGTTCAAAAAAGTCTTCTGCGACACATGTATCACGCATGTATCTCACACACAGGTATACATGGATATACATGTGAAACACAATTGATACAAATATGATACATGTGTGATACACAAATGATACACAGTTTGATACACATATCATTTTTTTCATGTTCAGCTTTTACTTCGAAATTTAAATTCAAATCACCTCAAAACTTCACCAAATCATCCCAAAACTGAGACTCAAGCTCCTTAAGTTATGCCCAATCTATTCTAATAGCCCCCACTCAAAACAAAGCAATTGGCGTACCAGAATTTGATAGTTATTTTCGAGCTGAATTATCAAACTCAGTAGACGTGGAGACGCGCGAGAGGCTACTAAAGGAAGCTATTAATGAAGTGAAGATCTATAACTGTATACTAGCTAGTAAACTACTAGAAAAAATAAAGAGATTGATAAATGTTAATGGATGGAAAATTCAAAGATTAGATGCAACAGAAATTTTTAGGAGGAAATAGAGAAATGCAAAGGAAGAAGTAGAGGAAATTTGGAAGAATATTGTTATGGGGCAGAGCATAAAGATTGTGGGTAAATTTTTATGCGAAAATAATAGGAGCAAAATGGTTTACAGAAATAATGTGATAGCCATTAAGAGAGCAGCGTCAGCCATAGCTCAATATTATAGCTAATTGGCTAATTTGGCTAATATTAGTAATATTTTATCAATTGACCAATTTTGTAATGAGCTACTTATAAATGGACATAGCTGGTAATTTCCCTATTTTTTGCCCTTTGACCCTTAATAGAACTTCAAGCTTATAAACCGTTTTAAAATATTAAGGAGTAAATTTTGACCCATTTTCTCAAGAATTTGGACACATGGTATTTCTTACTAGATCACCTTTAATAGCAAAGGCAAATATGAAAACATTTTCCTAACGTGAATAGATAATAGTTTAATCGACGGTAAGTGTAAACAATTCTAAATAAAACAGATACAAATAGGGTGGCAAATGGGCAGGTTGGGCTGAATTTGGGCGGGTCAAGATGGGTTAGGTCAATAAATGGGTCATTGCCCAACCCAACCAAATTGTACTTGAGCTAAGATGGGCTGGGTCAAGATGGACGAAACAATGGGTCATAGCCCACCCCACCCAACTTGATCCATGTTTTAGAACCATGCTCATCTTGCATAAAAAAGCCTTTTACCTTAAAATGTGTAAGTTGAAAAATATTTTGCGGGTGGGGTTGGGTGGTGCAGAAAAACGAAAAAACAGAAAATAGAAAATTAAAAATACAAAAAAAAAAAAAGTAAATAAAAAATTTTCGAAGGGGTTTGAGCGCTCGGGAGGGGAGGGAGGGGTAGGGGGGGTGGAAAACAGAAAATTGAAAATACAAAAAAAAAAAAAAAGTAAAATTGGAGTAACTAAGTAAATTTCTAGATAAGTTGGGGTGAGTTTCATGGGTTGTATTTGGGTTGCTTAATGGGTTAAAATGGGCTATAAAATATAATGGGTTAACTTGGGCTCAGCTCAAATAGACCCATAAACTAAAATGTTTATAGCCCAACACATTAATCTGTGGGCGGGTTGGATGGGTTTGGGATCAAATTGCCACCGCTAGATACAAATTCGAATATTTTTCCTACATTAAAGAGATAGTGAATGTAGAGATACCCACGTTCACTAAATTGAAGTTCTAAATTTTTTTACCTATTCCAAGTTTTCAACGGGTACAAAATGGTATAAGAGGGAGGAGAAGAGATTGGATTCAAACTTAATATTTGAAATCCATTTGTATGCATTATCATAAAGGAATTGTGAACGTAGAGATACCCAAATCAAATAAATTGAAGTTCTAAATTGAAGGCGTGAATTGAATATAAGGGGGTAAAAAGGGGCAGAGAAGCATTTTGATACCCAGATTGTATCAAATCAATTTGAACAACATAATTTTCTTACACAATTTCGATTCAGTGAAAGCACTAAATCGCCTCTATGTATAAAGGATATCAAACCAGCTAGCCAGCTCTGCAGGAATCGACATAATTTATCAAGTTATTTTGTACTTCAACTGAAGACGAGCTTTGGAACAACAAGAAAATCGTCTCTATGTCACGAGTTTAAGCTATGACATCAGTCACTACACCTTTCCTGAAACAATACATGAACGCGGAATGCTTCGCAACAAATTTATCTTCAGGTGACAAATTTGCTTTTGCTGAATGGTTTCAGGAATATGTGTGTGTAGCGTGATGAAAGAAAATACATTTTTTGCATTAAAAACATCCAATTCATTAAAACACGCATGCCTCACACTTTTCCCTTTCCAGAACAACTCAACTTACTACATAGTTATGCTCTGTCTCAACACTACATACTATTCTCTGTGTACACTTCTTGAATCTTGGCTTCTCACAGCTTGAATTACATTCGCAACAACATTGTTGTAGCTCCACAAAAGACACGAAAAAAGGGGGATCAAGGGGTGGTTTAAGATATATATGAGAGAGAGAGAGAGAAGCAACATAAGGGAAGCTTCCCTTAACCAAGATATGATATCTCAATAAACGTGGATGTTAACGCCAATACCTCCTAGCTTCTTCGTTGACATTTTTTGGCTCGAATGATAGCGAAGCCAGAAAAATGAAAGCCGGGAAATTGCAGCCTGGCTAGCAACCTGAACACCTCTACATGCAAGGTTTAAATCCGCTAACACTTCGTTACGTGTCAGACCTGATTCAACGCTTTCCTCATACCCATCAAGGTCAGATTCAGAGACTAGAACCACCGAGCCATCATCAAAGGCAGCAACTTCTTTTTGTGCTGGAAAGTCCAAGACTTTCAATGAATTATCACCTCCACAGACATCACTATCAGTATTATTTACTCTTACATAGAATTCTTGAACCGCCTGCATTAGTATAAGCAATGAAAATGACGTTTTAAAACTTTAGAAAAACAAGACAAGAAAGGACAAGGAATTCTGAACTATCAAGGACAGCTTTTGGAAAAGAGAGTAAATAATGAAGAATACAGTAAACAATAATATATACATATAAATTTTTTTAATAACCAAGAAATCTCTTGTTTCCAGTGTTGAAACTCAGAGAACGTGCCTGCCCCTCTACCCTAATCCTCTTAAATACGGACTTGGTTCACCAGCCAGGATTCAGACTATTGAGTAGTGACGTGTGCTTATACACATCTCTCATTTTACTACCTTGCCGTTGAACCTCTAGGGTCAGTGATATATCCATATAATAAAAACAGATATACAGAAAAAATTAAAGTTTTGGACATGAACGCACAAATCTAAATTTGCAGTGGACTGGCTGACATATTCTAACTCAAATGTACAGATTTTTTTTTTAAATGCCAGTGTTCGGTTCAGTTTTGCACAACCTCGACTATTTAACTGGGTGACCTCCCGCTAGCACAGATACAGCAAAACTCTCCCACCAAGGCAGGCTTAGATAGATGATGAATCAGCTAGAATATTTTGTCTTTGCTGGGATTTGAATTGAGCGGGAGTATAAGCGCCTCGTACAAACAACAACAACTAAGCCTCGAAGCAGAACAAGAATCCTGGTTAGAGCATACCTGCCACTGAGAGGAGGCTAACAACACCCTTGGTCTAATGGATCTGACATATTCAAAAGCAGCCTCAGGTGTCATGTGCTTGTGTTTGACCTACCCAAGAGGAAATATTAGAATAGAGAAAATCCATGAAACAGATAATAATTATATGCTCTGAGTTGTGGTGCCCACCAGGTAGCAAAGGACAATTGTTGTACTACGGCCACGGCCGGCTTTACAGTGCACATATGTTGTCTTACCACAAGATGCATTACCTTCAAAGCCACATGCATAAACTATGAATTGACAATCAAAATAACATAATGAAATTGCAAACTCCAGCAATATATAATATATATTTACCTTTTAACTCAAAAACATAGTATATAAAAGCTGGGGAAGGATTCTTACCTTCATTTTACACACTAGAAAGCTGGGAGTAAGAAACTTACCATGGATGAATTCAATAGCTCGGTCAATATCTCTCTCTGATGGTGCAAAAAGATAGTCTCTGGTAGGAATCACCAAGTGATCGATGCAATGATCCTACAAAATAAGTAAAATGGTATCGTTGGAATGAATTTTTTTTACAAATCATCACTTTTTTAGTGATAAATAAGGAGCACGACAATCATTTAGAAACAATATGGTGAAGTTTTCTTGCTCATGCGTATTAGGACCAAAGATGTTCCTCTAGTTATAATTGAGCCTTTTACAAGTTTACACACGTTCACTCAAAATCTGCATATAGGTAGGCAATACAGCCATCTTGTTTCGATCACATAGCTAACTCAACATAGTCAATAACAATAAACTTGTTAACAAGCGATTTCAGTATAACAAAAAGTAATGACTTAAAAATGAGATACAGTGTGAAAGTGGGAGTGTAGACGGTACAAGATATAATGATGTTGAGACCAAAGTCTCATATGGTTCGTTCAAGGTAACCACTCCAGCCACGCCTAGAGCCTTCAAGCGAGGGACATCAGCAGGAAACGGAACAGCTCCTAACAGTATGAACTGAAAACACAAAAATCCATCAACACCTCAATTAACTGAAAACATAATAAATGATTAGTCCCCAATGTAATATGTATTTTAATTTTGAAAGCGATAAGTTCAGAGATAGAGAAAAGAATGAGCAGAGAAAACTGTAAAATCCACAATATTGCAGTGCATGAACAAATATTAATAACAGCTGCAGCATACACAAAGGCTGTATATAAATGAAAATTTTGCTAAACGACAACGCAATCTATGAACTTGTATATCCAAAAGTGTTGGCAAGTCTTCAGAACTGCAACTATTTGGTTCAAGAATTAGAAGTACTCAAAAGGAAAGTGAGTGTGTGTGTGTGTGTGTGTGCGTGAATGGATAGAAAGGAGGAAGGGAAAGGAAGGAGATGGGACGTTCCTAAAAGAACAGTATTTTTCTTCTCCTTTCTTTCGTATTCCTCCATATTCAAACATGCTAGTGCAAATAACTTAATTGTCCTCCTCTCTTTTACACCACACAAAATGGTAAATAATCCTAAACTCTAAACTTGTTGAGCACCCGAACATGTCGATCTTCAAAGGTATAAGCTTAGGAAATGGTTACTTCACATATAACAATCTTATGAAACATCCAAGCCAAGGGCAAGTAACAAATCAGGGTGACAATATGCAATAACCTCCACGCATAATGAGAGAATGCACAGCCAACGCCATTAACTTACTACTTTAAATTGATAGAAGAAAATGTAGAGGGAAATAAGTTGAGAATTAATCATATACACCAACCAGCAATCAAAAGCAGCTGAAAATACTAGAGAATATGTGAAAAATGAAACGCTATAAGTTAAAGTCGACATGAGTTACAGTTTCACATCTGGACCACCAACACGGCATTTCAACAACACTAAGATGGGAAGAGGTATCTATTTCTTAGTAAACATCATATATTAAATACTCGGCACTGATTTGCCCAGGAAAAGCACATATCAGTGCAACAGGAGGAGATTAAAGAACACGCACCTATCACATGCTTTGCAACACAATACTGAGATCTCCGAGAGTAAATGGATATCTCTAACAAACACTAAAAGTTTCTCCTGGGTAAGGGGTTTAGGTAGAGGCTAATCCAAGACTTAAATTTGATGAGCTCAATCATAAGGTTCTTCACACTGAACTCACCATACTATCAAAATTACAGGTCACAATTTAATATTTAATGAAATTTTATTGGTTTTTCACATATATATATGTTCCATGTCGAAAATACTAGGTACAGTCGAACTCATAGACAATACACTCCATTCGCCTCTGGGTTAGGGGTGGGTTTACATATGAAAAAGAAAAAATCACAAAGAATCAGCAGTACTAAGAACTTGATCCTTCGGTTGAATTTTGATTTGGGAACTTGGAATAGTCAAACTATGTGTCACATCTTAAAGTCAATAACTTCTAGTTATACTAAAGATAAGCTTTGAATAATTTGAACCATCAACCTAGGAAATATTAGGAAAAAATAAACCTTTTTGACATTGACCAACTATTGGTTCCTAAAGATAATCTGAATTATACATTGAAATATGAAATAGCACAAATTTAATCAAAAAAGCTTAAAAGCAATATACACATAAAAACTGCAGATAGTATGTATGGTAAAGAGCACAAATGCAGTAAAACATGAATATTAGATAGGTAAAAGTTATACCTCATCAACCCTATCCCACCATCGAAACTCGGTCTCAATCTTGTTTCTCACAACATTATACAACAATGTGGGATAAAAAAGAGCACGAGCACCCGCTCCAACCAAAGCCCTTTTCGCGCCCGAAACAACCAATGCACCTTCTTCACAAGTATCATCACAAAACTTCTCCTCCCTGTTTACTACTACTTCTTCCCCCTCATCCAACTCCTCAATATACATTTCTTGGACTAAATACAAAAACAATTAACCCTAAAAAAATAGCCTTGAAAATCCCTAATATACCAAAAAAGATTCAAACTTTATTCCTATGCAGTATCAATTTCAAGAACTAGAATTCTTCAGCCATGAATTTTACCTATAAAATGAATTAAAAAGCATATGAGTACAAAAAATTAGAACCCCAGAAGAAAAAAAAAGATTCAATTCAATCACAAGTTCAATTACTCACCAAATTGAAATCAAATACAGAGGAGGCTGCTGCTACAAAAATTACACATATTTCTACAGCAAGATAATAAAACCCAAAAAGAATTAGATTCAAGAATGTGCCTTTTACATGCCATATTCAATAACAAGAACAAGAAATTTGATCTAAGGGATTACTAAAAAAGAACCAAGATTTTGAATAAATATAAGATGTACAATTTCAAAGGAGCAAAAAAGAGAAACTTTATAGCTTCAAGAAAGGTTCTTCGTTGTTGGGTGAAAAATATAATTCTTGAATTATTATAGAGAAAAAAAAAGTGGGTGAGTTTTCTCTCTCAAGAATTTAGAGTGTTTCTCTCTCTCTCTCTCTTTGTATATGCCTTTCCTTTTCTCTCAACAAACTCTAACGCACTGTGTGTATGAGTGCGTATAAAGCTAATGTAATGCTATTACATACTCCCTTAATTTCAGTTTGTGTCAGGAGTGCTTGACTGAGCATAAATTTAAAATTAATTTTATGATTTTTGACTGAGCAATAAAAGAAAAACAACTTTTAGAATTTATGGTCTATAACTTTTTATATATATTTGTGTGGCTAGAATCGCATTATCAAGAGCAAATTAGAGAAATTTAAAATTAAATTATTTGTAGATAAATATGTGTCACTTAAATTAGGACAGATAAATATTTAAAAAGAGTTTAAAACCTATGCACTAATCATATAAAAAATTGTTATACAGTCAAATCACCTATTAAATAATAATCATTAATTGGTAACATGAGAAATGGTTATTAACATGTTTTAAGAGATTAAGCTAAGCTACTACGTAGGGTAAAAAATGTAGACCAGTATATACGTCTATCCAATTTTCTTTGACACATTTTTTAATCTTTTATTCACGTCAAATAATTAGTTTCTCTTTGTTTTGAATCACCTTAATTTTCTGTACGCCTTCTAATAAAGTACACTTTTATACGGCAAAAAAGTTTATTTAATTTTAAATTTTTGTATCTCTAATGAGATGATTTATGACCACTCAAATATCTTTAACTTATTTTAGATTATAAGCTCGAAATTCTTTTTTCCTCTTAAACTCCATGTCCAATCAAACATACCAACACATTCCATAACATCATTCAAACTTAGTCGAGCCTTCAAATCACTCAAAATAACATCAAAACACCAAATTATCCTCGGATTCAAGCCTAAGAACATCTAAATTTCCAAATTTCACAAAACGATGCCGAAACCTATCAATCACGTCCGAATGACCCCAAATTTTGCGCACACACCACAAATGACACTATGAACCTACTCCAACTTTCGGAATTTCATTCCGACCTCGATATCAAATTTTTCACTGCCGACCAAAATCGCCAAATTTCCAACTTTCGCCAATTCATGCCTAATTCTACCACAGACCTCCTATCCTATTCCGAACGCGCTCCTAAGTCCAAAATCACCTAATGGAGCTAACAGAATCATCAAAATTCAAATCTGAGGTCATGTACACATAAGTCAACATCCGGTCAACTTTTTCAATTTAAACCTTCACAAAAGAGACTAAGTGTCTCATTCCATACCGAAACCACTCCGGACCCGAACCAACCAACACGATGCGATAAGATACAGCTGAAGAACACAAAAGGAAGCAGAAATGGGGGAATGGGGCTATAACTATTGAAATGACCGGCCGAGTCGTTACATCTTCCCCCTCTTAAACAAACGTTCGCCCTCGAACGAGTATAGAAACATACCTGAAGCCTCAAATAGGTGTGGATATCTGCTCCGCATCTCCCGCTCGGTCTCCCAAGTAGCCTTCTCCACGGGCCAACCTCTTTACTGCACTTCTACTGAAGTTATATCCTTTGATCTCAACTTTCTGACATGCCGCTCCGAAATAGCCACTGGCTCCATATCATAAGTCAAATCGCCATCTAATTGAACCGTGCTGAAATCCAAGACAGGAGACGGATCGCTGATATGCTTCCAGAGCATAGAAACATGAAATACTGGATGCACACCCGACAAGCTAGGTGGCAAAGCAAGCTCATAAGCCACCTCCCCAATCATCCGAAAGCATCTCAAAAGACCCAATGAACCGAGGGATCAGCTTGCCCTTCTTTCCAAATCTCATAACACCCTTCATGGGTGAAACCTTCAGTAGAACCTTCTCCCCAACCATATAAGACATGTCACGAACCTTTCTGTCAGCATAACTCTTTTGTCTTGACTGTGCTGTACGAAGCCGCTCCTGAATCACTTTCACATTGTCCAAAGCATCCTGTACTAAGTCTGTACCCAAAAGCCTAGCCTCGCTTGACTCAAACCAACCTACTGGGGATCTACACCGTCTCCCATATAGAGCCTCATACGGAGCCATCTGAATACTCGACTGATAACTGTTATTATAAGAAAACTCCGCGAGCAGTAGAAACTGATCCCATGAACCCCCAAAATCAATGACACAAGCGCGTAACATGTCCTCCAATATCTGAATAGTGCGCTCGGACTACCCGTCCGTCTAAGGATGGAATGTTGTACTCAACTCAACCTGAGTGCCCAACTCTCGCTGAACGACTCTCTAAAATTGTGATGTAAACTGTGTGCCTCTATCCGAAATGATGGAAACTGGCACTCCATGAAGGCGAACAATCTCTCTGATGTAAATCTCAGCCAACCGCTCTGAAGAATAGGTAGTACACACAGGAATGAAGTGCCCGGACTTGGTCAGTCGATCCACAATCACCCAAATAGCATCGAACTTTCTCAAAGTCTGTGGGAGTCCAACTACGAAATCCATGGTGATCCGCTCTCACTTCCACTCTGGAATGTCTATCTGCTGAAGCAAGCCACCCGGTCTCTGATGCTCATATTTCACCTGCTGACAATTGAGACACTAAGCTACAAATCCCACTATATCTTTCTTCATTCTTCTCCGCCAATAGGGCTGCCTCAAATCCTGATACATCTTCGTGGCACCCGAATGGATGGAATACTGCGAACTATAGGCCTCCTCAAGAATCAACTCCCGAAGCCCATCTACATTGGGAACACATATCCGACCCTGCATCCTCAATACCCCATGATGTTTTAAGCGTCAATACCACACAAGAGGGGGGGGGTGATTTGTGTGGTACCCAATTTTTTCTTAAGTTGTTTATGGAAGGACTTGGTTCTTCTAGGTGTTCCAACTACTACTATTTACAGAATAATAAATACAGAAAATAAATGACACAGAGATTTTTACGTGGAAATCACCTGGCTCAAAAGGTGAAAAAACCATGACCTACTACTCAGTAGGATTTTCCCAGACTTCCACTAAAATCACTGAGCCAAAACAGCATTTACAAAAACTCTTCATAAACCTAAGGATTAACTCTAATCTTGTTGTGGCACACAGCCTCAACTGTTGCGACAACTTTACGTTAGCTATAACTCGAACACTCTAGGTACCTAATACAATTGCTTCTATGAAAGCTGAAAGGTACAATTTTAAACCATCTACTACAATTGAACTAGAATAAAAAATAGACACAATGTAACTGGTTCTTCTATCTCGTTCAAGTAGCTTCAGGAGTGCACACTCAATCACACATAAATTGCTTGCAAAATCGCCTTGCTCTTTTGCTCTCAATTTAGTTTAACTTCTGCGTATGTGCATTATCTGTAAAAAAGAACAACACTAACATTTAATAGGTTAGTAATCAGAGTTTGATTGGGACTCAATTGCTGCTCTTCTATCGTGGAAGAGTTCATGATGATCTCAAACTCTAACACTATCTTCATCCTAGATTGTGTTCTCTTCATATAAGGAGACTTTCTCCCCTTATCTAATATGCAACCTTTTCGATCAGATCAGGAGATATTGCTACTTATTCAGTAGGACTTATCTCCTTCACGTGCATCTCACATGCATAGATTGATCATGACTGTGCTTCACAAGATGGACCCGGTCCATGACTGAGTTCTTTTGTCATTCTTCAAAAATTCACCTGTTCTTGGGTCAACAAATTCCCCATTTTTTATGATGACAAACTCTGTGCTTTTTACTGATTTGGAACCTGTAAGAACTCAACTTAACCATCAATACTAAACTTAGAAAAATCACTTATCATCAAGGACCGGGTTAATTAGGTTATAAATATCACTTATTTCAGAATGTGTAAAGCACAATGTCTCTTTCCCCTTTTGGCATCATCGAAAAGTTGCATACAAAATGTGATTCCCAGATTTTAATAAGTACTCATGGCCACTGGGGCAACTGCAAGTGCAATCATGGTGCAATCATCAGTAATCAAGCAAACATATTTAAACTATCAAGGACATATTTGTCACACCTCCTTTTTCTTACTACACCCCTGGAAGGGATATAATAAAGGGATTTTTTCCAATAAAGGACAATCGAAAGGGATTTATTATTAAAAGATTCAGAGTCGCCACTTGCGAGATTTATGGTGTCCCAAGTCACCGGTTTAAATCCCGAATCGAGGAAAAGGTTTGACTCTGTTTAACAGTCGCGAACCAGAAATCCGGGTAAGAAATTCTGTTAACCCGGGAGAAGGGGTTAGGCATTCCCGAGTTCCGTGGTTCTAGCACGATCACTCAACTGTCATATTCGGCTTAATTATCTGATTTTAAGAACATTTTGAACCTATGTGCATTTTAACTTCAAAACCGCTTTTATTTATTTTAAAGAAGATTTAACGTCGTCTAAAACATGTCTTTGGACCACGTCACATGAAATGCACCCGCAATCCGAAACACATTTTATTCAACGTTATTAAGATTTGAATTTGGGTCACATGAAATGCACACCCGAGTTTAGGAAGGTAAAATTATTAAAGCACGCGCCTAAAGCAACTAACGCGTTATTAACTTTGCAGGAGGCCATGGAAATTTGCTAAATGGCACGTCCCGAGTTCTAAGTATTTTTAAAGAAATGATTAATGAGGGCCACACACTTTGTCATTTTATTTGGCGCGGCGCACCTCAATTTATTTTTTAAAGGACATCCTAAAGAGGAACTAATATTATCTATTAAAGGTTGTCTTTAAAAAAAAAACTAATTTGTTAACATTATGAATTAACTAACATCAAGGTATTCAAGAAAATTTGGGCTCCAAGATCAAGTTCAAACTCGAACAAGGACGCTCTCAATTACTGAAGAGACCCTTAGCTCGAGTCTGCCACTTAACTTGAAGGGCCCAAAGCCTTCTATTTAACTTTACCATCATTAAATCCAAACAGTGATTCAAGACCTGATGCATTGGGCTCAAGACCAGCCCAGCCATAATGAAGGGAAGCTGACAAAGGGCCGGCCCAGGAAAAAAAAACAACACTGAAACTGGGACTCAAGATCAGGTCCCTAACAGTCCACAATTAGCAAAAGAGCCGATTCAAAGGCCGGTAATGCTTGGGC